TTTGCTATTTTTAGATATACTTATTCATAAGGAAATGTTTTCACTAAAGTTTAGTGTTTACAGAAAACCTACGAATAATTGATGTATGTTCAATATTTCTCAGGACATAGATACAATGTGAAACAATAATTTTTTTCCTCTGTATCTAAGAGCTCTTCGGGTTGTTAGTTCAGCATTCCTGGATAAAGAGTTTAAGAATATTGATTCTATTGGTGTCAAGCTTTGTTATCCACTAAGGTTGTTGGAAATTTGCCGTAGTAAAGCAAGTCGTACATATTATAATAATATATTGTTATATAATTATATATTACTAGCTGTACCCGGCCACAGCAAACTTTCCGTCCCCCAGGCCTCCCCCATCATTCCTCCTTCCCCCGTCCCCCAGGCTTCCCCCATCATTCCTCCCTCCCCCGTCCCCCAGGCCTCCCCCATCATTCCTCCCTCCCCCGTCCCCCAGGCCTCCCCCATCATTCCTCCCTCCCCCGTCCCCCAGGCCTCCCCCATCATTCCTCCCTCCCCCATCCCCCAGGCCTCCCCCATCATTCCTCCCTCCCCCGTCCCCCAGGCCTCCCCCATCATTCTTCCCTCCCCCGTCCCCCAGGCCTCCCCCATCATTCCTCCCTCCCCCGTCCCCTCGTCCTCCCCATTATTCCTCCCTCCCCCGTCCCCCAGGCCTCCCCATCATTCCTCCCTCCCCCGTCCCCCAGGCCTCCCCCATCATTCCTCCCTCCCCCATCCCCCAGGCCTCCCCCATCATTCCTCCCTCCCCCGTCCCCTCGTCCTCCCCATCATTCCTCCCTCCCCCGTCCCCCAGGCCTCCCCCATCATTCCTCCCTCCCCCGTCCCCCAGGCCTCCCCCATCATTCCTCCCTCCCCCGTCCCCCAGGCCTCCCCCATCATTCCTCCCTCCCCCGTCCCCTCGTCCTCCCCATCATTCCTCCCTCCCCCGTCCCCCAGGCCTCCCCCATCATTCCTCCCTCCCCCGTCCCCCAGGCCTCCCCCATCATTCCTCCCTCCCCCGTCCCCCAGGCCTCCCCCATCATTCCTCCCTCCCCCGTCCCCCAGGCCTCCCCCATCATTCTTCCCTCCCCCGTCCCCCAGGCCTCCCCCATCATTCCTCCCTCCCCCGTCCCCCAGGCCTCCCCCATCATTCTTCCCTCCCCCGTCCCCCAGGCCTCCCCCATCATTCCTCCCTCCCCCGTCCCCCAGGCCTCCCCCATCATCCCTCCCTCCCCCGTCCCCCAGGCCTCCCCCATCATTCCTCCTTCCCCCGTCCCCCAGGCTTCCCCCATCATTCCTCCTTCCCCCGTCCCCCAGGCCTCCCCCATCATTCCTCCTTCCCCTGTCCCCCAGGCCTCCCCCATCATTCCTCCCTCCCCCGTCCCCCAGGCCTCCCCCATCATTCCTCCCTCCCCCGTCCCCCAGGCCTCCCCCATCATTCCTCCCTCCCCCGTCCCCCAGGCCTCCCCCATCATTCCTCCTTCCCCCGTCCCCCAGGCTTCCCCCATCATTCCTCCCTCCCCCGTCCCCCAGGCCTCCCCCATCATTCCTCCCTCCCCCATCATTCCTCCCTCCCCCGTCCCCCAGGCCTCCCCCATCATTCCTCCCTCCCCCGTCCCCCAGGCCTCCCCCATCATTCCTCCTTCCCGCGTCCCCCAGACTTCCCCCATCATTCCTCCCTCCCCCGTCCCCTCGTCCTCCCCGTCATTCCTCCCTCCCCCGTCCCCCAGGCCTCCCCCATCATTCCTCCCTCCCCCGTCCCCCAGGCCTCCCCCATCATTCCTCCTTCCCCCGTCCCCCAGGCCTCCCCCATCATTCCTCCCTCCCCCGTCCCCCAGGCCTCCCCCATCATTCCTCCCTCCCCCGTCCCCCAGGCCTCCCCCATCATTCCTCCCTCCCCCGTCCCCTCGTCCTCCCCATCATTTCCCACTCCCTCAACTGATGCATTCCCAAATGATCTGATGTTCCCTTCACCGAAAAATAATAAGAACAGTTAAAAACGAAATAAAAAACAACGAAAAACTAAAAAAAAAAAAAACTATACTCACGAAATGAACGGTATGGTAAACAACACAGCTCAATTCCAACGCAATATAACACAAATTAATTAAATCAAAATGAAAATCAATCGAAATTTATGAAAATTCAATTTATCAATGCTGTCGGAAACATTGAGATGGAATCGTAACATATTTAGTATAGTGAGTGTTGCTCATATGTGCAACAGATGGCGCAGTTTAATTAAAAGGCATGATTTTACCTGTCACAAGTGAGGCATGTATATAGTAGGTATATAAAAACACGCGCCTTTTCGAATGCAACGTTTGTCTAAATTTCAAAGCAATCTGTAAAGAGGTTTCGAAGATTTCCCTGACATGAAAAACACATGAAAAACACAGTTTTTCAAAAAAAAATTTTTTTTCCCACCACAAACGTGACATCTATATATTAAGTATATAAAAACCCGCTCAGATGAGAATGGAACATTGTGTAAAAATTTATAAGCAATCGGTGAAGAACTTTCGGAGATTAGCGATTTTGAAGAAACGAACATTTACATTTTTATTCATATAGATATGTTAGCGGTGCCCGGCCACACGTTGCTGTGGTTCAGCAACGTACATGCGTTGCTGAGCCACAGCAATCTTTCCCTGTCTCCCAGTCCACCCCACAATTTTCCCCTCCCCCAGTCCCCTCATCCCTCCAACTATTCCCCACTCCCCCGTCCCCCTCGTCCTCTCCACCATTCCCCACTCCCTCGTCCTATGCATTCACAAATGATCGGATGCTCCCTTCAGAAAATTGGGAACATCAAATGATCTGATGTTCCCTGATGATTGCATTGATCAATTCAATCTATCAATGCAATTGGAAAATTTGAAATAGAATCATAACATATTTAGTATAGCGTGTGTTGCTATTACATGCAACAGATGGTGCTGTTTAAAAAACAGCATGTTTTTACCTGTCACAGGCGTGGCATCTATATAGTAGGTATAAAAACACGTGCGTATTCGAATGCAACGTTATGTCAAAATTTCAAAGTAATCGGTATAGAGGTTTCGAAGATTTCCCTCACCCGAAAAACACATAAAAAGACAGTTTTTCAAAAACAGCAAGTTTTCCCCATCACAGACGTGACTTCTGTATAGTATGTATATAAAAACTCGCTCAGATGCGAATGGAACGTTGTGTGAAAATTTCAAAGCAATCGGTGGAGAACTTTCGGACTTGAGAATGGTCTAGGACGGACCGAAACGTCGTAGTCCCTTCACCTTCTAGTGCGTAGTCTGGTCAACTTTCGGAGATTAGCGGTCATGCACAAACGAACATTTCCATCTTTATTTATATAGATTGGCCGCTGGAAATGGCGCCAACATTAAAATCATGATAACTCTACGGTAACCTATAACCACGTTTTACTATCTTTGGTTTAGACGTTTTTGCGATTTAATATATTATAGTTCTGGAGGCCACAGGAAGGTGAAGTAACGTTTCTGTATTTGTATAACTAAGCGACCTTCCTACTGCGTTTCATTTTGATTCCCATGCTAGCATGTTTGTCTTACAATGTGATCAAGCAAGCGGGAGTGTTGGAGGGTGTGTGGGTGTGTGGGCAGGTGACCAGTGGCTCTTGCTGGAGCAGATGTTCTGCTCGTGGGTGTGTGTGTGTAGATGTGTGTAAGTGTGGGTGGGTGTGTAGATGTGTGTAAGTGTGGGTGGGTGTGTAGATGTGTGTAAGTGTGGGTGGGTGTGTAGATGTGTGTAAGTGTGGGTGGGTGTGTAGAGGTGTGTAAGTGTGGGTGGGTGTGTAGATGTGTGTAAGTGTGGGTGGGTGTGTAGATGTGTGTAAGTGTGGGTGGGTGTGTAGATGTGTGTAAGTGTGGGTGGGTGTGTAGATGTGTGTAAGTGTGGGTGGGTGTGTAGATGTGTGTAAGTGTGGGTGGGTGTGTAGATGTGTGTAAGTGTGGGTGGGTGTGTAGATGTGTGTAAGTGTGGGTGGGTGTGTAGATGTGTGTAAGTGTGGGTGGGTGTGTAGATGTGTGTAAGTGTGGGTGGGTGTGTAGATGTGTGTAAGTGTGGGTGGGTGTGTAGATGTGTGTAAGTGTGGGTGGGTGTGTAGATGTGTGTAAGTGTGGGTGGGTGTGTAGATGTGTGTAAGTGTGGGTGGGTGTGTAGATGTGTGTAAGTGTGGGTGGGTGTGTAGATGTGTGTAAGTGTGGGTGGGTGTGTAGATGTGTGTAAGTGTGGGTGGGTGTGTAGATGTGTGTAAGTGTGTGTGGGTGTGTAGATGTGTGTAAGTGTGGGTGGGTGTGTAGATGTGTGTAAGTGTGGGTGGGTGTGTAGATGTGTGTAAGTGTGGGTGGGTGTGTAGATGTGTGTAAGTGTGGGTGGGTGTGTAGATGTGTGTAAGTGTGGGTGGGTGTGTAGATGTGTGTAAGTGTGGGTGGGTGCGTAGGTATGTGGGTGTTGATGTGTGAGTGTGGATGTGTGGGTGTGGGTGTGTATTCATCTAGTTGTATTCACCTAGATGTGCTTGAGGGGGTTAAGCTTTGCTCTTTCGGCCTGCCTCTCAACTGTCAATCAACTGTTACTAACTAATTATTTTTGGTTTCACACACACACACACACAAAACGCAGCTTCGTAACAGCTGTCTAACACCCGGGTATCTATTTATTGCTAGGTAACAGGAGCATTCAAGGGGGAAAGAAACTTTGCCCATTTATTTCTGCCTGGTGCGGGAATCGAACCCGGGCCACAGAATTACGAGTGCTGCGGGCTGTCTGCTTAGCTACCAGGGGTGTGGATGTGTGGGTGGGGATGTGTGGATGTGTTATTGTGTGTGTGTGTGTGAGTGTGTGGGTGTTCGTGGGGTATGTAGGGTGTGGGTGTGTGGGTGTGTGTGTGTGTGGGTGTGCGTGGGGTATGTAAGGTGTGGGTGTGCGGGTGTGAGTGTGTAGGTGTGGGAGTGGAGGACAGATAGACACAGCCCCCAACTATGTCAGACACAGTCCCAACTGTGTCAGACACAGCCCCCAATCGTGTCAGACACAGCCCCCAACTGTGTCATACACAGTCCCAACTGTGTCAGACACAGCCCCAACTGTGTCAGACACAGCCCCCAACTGTGCCAGATACAGCCCCCAACTGTGTCAGACACAGCCCTACTGTGTCAGACACAGCCCCAACTGTGCCAGATACAGCCCCCAACTGTGTCAGACACAGCCCCCAACTGTGTCAGACACAGCCCCCAACTGTATCAGACACAGCCCCCAACTGTGTCAGACACAGCCCGAACTGTGTCAGACACAGCCCCAATAACTGTGTCAGACACAGCCCCAACTGTGTCAGACACAGCCCCAACTGTGCCAGATACAGCCCCCAACTGTGTCAGACACAGTCCCAACTGTGTCAGACACAGCCCCAACTGTGCCAGATACAGCCCCCAACTGTGTCAGACACAGCCCCCAACTGTGTCAGACACAGCCCCCAACTGTATCAGACACAGCCCCCAACTGTGTCAGACACAGCCCGAACTGTGTCAGACACAGCCCCAATAACTGTGTCAGACACAGCCCCAACTGTGTCAGACACAGCCCCAACTGTGCCAGATACAGCCCCCAACTGTGTCAGACACAGTCCCAACTGTGTCAGACACAGCCCCAACTGTGCCAGATACAGCCCCCAACTGTATCAGACACAGCCCCCAACTGTGTCAGACACAGCCCGAACTGTGTCAGACACAGCCCCCAACTGTGTCAGACACAGCCCCCAACTGTGTCAGACAGCCCCCAACTGTGTCAGACACAGCCCAAACAGACACAGCCCCAACTGTGTCGGACACAGCCCCCAACTGTGTCAGACACAGCCCCCAACAGACACAGCCCCTAACTGTGTCAGACAAAGCCCCAACTGTGTCAGACACAGCCCCCAACTGTGTCAGACACAGCCCCCAACAGTGTCAGACACAGCCCCGAACAGTGTCAGACACAGCCCCAACTGTGTCAGACACAGCCCCCAACAGTGTCAGACACAGCCCCCAACTGTGTCAGACACAGCCCCCAACTGTGTCAGACACAGCCCCCAACTGTGTCAGACACAGCCCCAACTGTGTCAGACACAGCCCCCAACTGTGTCAGACACAGCCCCCAACTGTGTCAGACACAGCCCCCAACAGTGTCAGACACAGCCCCAACTGTGTCAGACACAGCCCCCAACTGTGTCAGACACAGCCCCCAACTGTGTCAGACACAGCCCCCAACTGTGTCAGACACAGCCCCCAACAGTGTCAGACACAGCCCCAACTGTGTCAGACACAGCCCCCAACTGTGTCAGACACAGCCCCAAACTGTGTCAGACACAGCCCCCAACTGTGTCAGACACAGCCCCCAACTGTGTCAGACACAGCCCCCAACAGTGTCAGACACAGCCCCAACTGTGTCAGACACAGCCCCCAACTGTGTCAGACACAGCCCCCAACTGTGTCAGACACAGCCCCCAACTGTGTCAGACACAGCCCCCAACTGTGTCAGACACAGCCCCCAACAGTGTCAGACACAGCCCCAACTGTGTCAGACACAGCCCCCAACTGTGTCAGACACAGCCCCCAACTGTGTCAGACACAGCCCCCAACTGTGTCAGACACAGCCCCAACTGTGTCAGACACAGCCCCCAACAGACACAGCCCCCAACAGACACAGCCCCCAACTGTGTCAGACACAGCCCCCAACAGTGTCAGACACAGCCCCCAACAGTGTCAGACACAGCCCCAACTGTGTCAGACACAGCCCCCAACTGTGTCAGACACAGCCCCCAACTGTGTCAGACACAGCCCCCAACTGTGTCAGACACAGCCCCAACTGTGTCAGACACAGCCCCCAACAGACACAGCCCCCAACTGTGTCAGACACAGCCCCCAACAGTGTCAGACACAGCCCCCAACTGTGTCAGACACAGCCCCCAACAGACACAGCCCCCAACTGTGTCAGACACAGCCCCCACTGTGTCAGACACAGCCCCCAACTGTGTCAGACACAGCCCCCAACTGTGTCAGACACAGCCCCCACTGTGTCAGACACTGCCACTGTCAGCACTCCACATCTCCGCCACCATTACCCGCTCTTTGCTTCACCTTGAAGAAGTTTCTCTCAAGCTTTTCACAGGACAGACAACATAAAGCGTCCCTCCATCTTGTAAGTCCTCGGCAAAAAGGACGTAAACTCCTTCATAATAGTGAAGGTGAAGACGCCGTCACTCGCTCCGTTTTGCTGCCACAGCATTTCTTGAGACAGTTAAAGTCGCTGGATTTACAGAGGTATAGCTGGAGTCGGTGGATTTACAGAGGTACAGTTGCAGTCGGTGGATTTACTGAGACACGATTGAAGTCGGTGGATTTACAGAGACACAGCTGGAGTCGGTGGATTTACAGAGACACGGTTGAAGTCGGTGGATTTACAGAGACACGGTTGAAGTCGGTGGATTTACAGAGACACAGCTGGAGTCGGTGGATTTACAGAGACACGGTTGAAGTCGGTGGATTTACAGAGACACGGTTGAAGTCAGTGGATTTACAGAGACACGGTTGAAGTCGGTGGATTTACAGAGACACGGTTGAAGTCAGTGGATTTACAGAGACACGGTTGAAGTCGGTGGATTTACAGAGACACGGTTGAAGTCAGTGGATTTACAGAGACACAGCTGGAGTCGGTGGATTTACAGAGGTTCAGCTGGAGTCGGTGGATTTACACAGATAAAGTCGGTGGATTTGTCAGCATAGATAAAGTGGCAAGACCTGCGCTAAAGCTTGGTGCGGTGTGTGGGGGGAACATATAACCTGTATAAGCGGGTGAAAGACGGGTGTGAGCCAGCGGGACATTTACCCTCGGTTCAGCGTTGACTTTTAGTATTTGGATTCCAGTTTATTAGGGCAGTCAGCCCTCAGTATGAAAGTGTAGAGCGCCGTGTTATAACTTCCCTGGCAACTGAGCGTTCTGTTGCCTGTAAATAGTATTCTGTCGGGCGCCGTATACATTAGAGCGAGGACTTTGGGATCGTTGTAGCGGGCGTTTTATCTGAGGCAAGTAGAGGGTATAGGCTGGGGGGGGGCCCAAGGAGGAAATAACGTCCTGAAGATGGAGATAAAGTTCCTTGATGGACATTCTCTCTTCAGGTCTGCTGGCGCGTTTTCTATGCGTTATGCCCCTAAAATGAGATAATGGGGTACTTGTCTGAAATGACTGGTAATCCATCTGGGCCGGACTGGGAAAGCGCCTCAAGGAAATACTCCATTGTTAAAACGCTATACTCTTTCCTCAGAATTATTCCTATGAGGGTTTTCTCTCGCACTCTCCCCCCAGAGCTTAGAGGGCCCTACACACAGGGAATCGAGAGCAATGATGAGCATCTCTGAAAGGAATGCTTCTTGAATGCCAAAAGTTCCTAAAACAGTTACAAAAAGTTGGGAACTTTAGAGAGGAGGACGAGGGCCGGGCGAGGCATAAGGGAAAGGCATTATCCTTTAATGCCGGTCAGTGAATGATAAAAGCCTCTATTAGTCCCGCTCTGACAACGTCTGAGTGTATCACAACGACGTCAGAGTGCACTTCCCAAGATATTATCCAGGCACTAGGACAACAGAGCAAAGACTTAAGGGTGTGATTGTTGCTCGCTTTATGGCACTCTGGGTTGCAAACTCGTGAGGGCCTCAACATGGGCAGAAGTGCACTCGAGGCCTCGAGTGTTGACTCACACTCTCGTGAAGTTAATCGCAGTTTTCAGCGGGTGGCCTTCGCTTGCATCAACATTTGCTTTGTGTCAACTCACAAGGACAGCGACCACGTATGTATGCGTACATCCACGCGTGTATGCATACATTCCGATATTCGTGCGCGAATACATACTTATTCATACATACAAAATTATATTATTATTATTATTATTATTACGTTAATATCTTAAACTAGAGTGATATTGACGAAAGGATTTTACATACAGAGCTACAACATTTTTCTAGGTGTACAATACATGGAAACATACACACACACACACACATACACACACACACACACACACACACACACACATACACACACACACGCACGCACGCACGCACGCACACACACACACACACACACACACACACACACACACACACACACACACACACACACACACACACACACACACACACACACACACACACACACACACACACACACGCAAACTCTCACACACATGCCTAAAAGGATTAATTGAATTCTACGACCAGGCAACAAAAATCAGGCAAGAAAGAGAGGGGTGGGCAGACTGCCTATTTTTGGACTGCCAGAAAGCCTTTGACACACAACCACACAAGGGACTAATGTACAAGCTGGAGACGAAGGCTGGAATGAAAGGGAAAGTACTCCGTTTGATAAGGGAGTACCCAAGCAACAGAAGACAGCGAGCCACTGAGAGGGGTGAGGTCTCAGATTTGCGAGGCGTCACCAGTGGAGTCCCACAAGGATCAGTCCCTGAACCTATACTGTTTCTGGTATATATAAATGATCTCCCAGAGGGAACAGGCTCGTTCCTCTCATTCTTTGCTGATGAGTCAAAAATTATGAGGAGAATTAACGCAGAGGAATATAGTATGAGGCTACAAGATGACCTAGACAGACTGCATGAATGGTCCAACAAATGGCTACTAAAGTTCAACCCGAATAAATGTAAGATAATAAAACTAGGCGGAGGAAGCAAGAGGCCAGACACAGGATACAGAATGGGAGATGAAGTCCTTCATGAAACGGACAGAGAGAAAGATCAAGGAGTTGATATCACACCAAACCTGTCTCCTGAAGCCCACATAAAAAGAATCACATCTGCGGTGCATGCGAGGCTGGCTAACATCAGAACTGCTTTCAGGAACCTGTGTAAGGAATCATTTAGAACCTTGTATACCACATATGTAAGACCAGTCTTGGAGTATGCGGCCTCAGCATGGAGCCCGTACCTAGTCAAGCATAAGATTAAGCTGACTAGTCACATAACTAAGAGGCATGAGTTACGAGGAAAGGCTGCGGAAAATGCACCTCACGACACTGGAAGACAGACGAGTAAGGGGAGACATGATCACTACCTACAAAATCCTCAGGGGAATTGACAGAGTAGACAAGGATAAACAGTTTAACACTGGAGGTACGCGAACAAGAGGACACAGGTGGGAACTTAGTCCCAAATGAGCCACAGGGACCTACATTATGGAGTGGAATGATGAACAAATGGAATTCATTAGGCAGTGATGTGGTGGAGGCTGACTCCATACACAGTTTCAAATGTAGATATGATAGAGCCCAATAGGCTCAGGATCCTGAACACCAGTTGATTAACAGTTGCGAGGCGGAACCAAAGAGCCAGAGCTCAAACCCCGCAAGCACAACTATATGAGTAGAACTAGGTGAGTATACACACACACACACACACACACACGCAAAGTTGATGAGTAGAGTTGTGACAGATGAAAATTGCAGGATCTTCCAAGAGGACTTGAACAGGTTGTAGTGATGGTCAGAGAAATGGCTACTGGAGTTCATCACGACAAATGTAAAGTTATGGAAATGGGAATAGGTGACAGGAGACCAACATTGACAAAAGATAGAACATCATTCAGAAACCTAAATAAGGAGGCATTTAGGGCGCTTTATACTGCCTACGTGAGGCCAGTCTTAGAGTGTGCCGCCTCATCATGGAGTCCCCATCTGAAGAAGCATATAAGGAAATTGGAAAAGGTTCAGAGGTTTGCAACGAGAATCATCTCAGAGTTACGAAGGATGGGGTATGAGGAGCGCCTAAAGGAATTGTGCCTTACGACACTAGAATGAAGAAGGGAGAGGAATGACATGATAGGAACGTATAAAATACTCAGGGGGATTGACAGAGTGGACATAGACGAAATGTTCACACGGAATAGTAACAGAACGAGGGAACATGTGTGGAGGCTGGAAACTCAGATGAGTCACAGGGATGTTAGGAAGTTTTTTTTTAGCGTGAGAGTAGAGGAAAAATGGAATGCACTTAAGGAACAGGTTGTGGAAGCAAATACTATTTATAATTTTAAAACTAGGTATGATAAGAAAATAGGACCGTAGTCATTACTGTAAATAACCGATGGTCGAAAGGCGGGATCCAAGAGTTAATGCTCGATCCTGCAGACACAAATAGGTGAGTACACACACAGCGACCTCCCATCACATGCCCCAACTAACCCCCAACCCCGGACCCCCTCAGCCGCATCACGTCAGAACCCCCCCCCCCTGTTCCAGATCCTCCCAGCCCCCTAACACCCCAGACCCCCCAGGTCCTCCTTCCTAGGCTCACTCATCCCAGACATCCCTTGCCCCCTAACTCCAGTGGAATCAACTGAAACTGAGAACAGACAGAAGAGAGTCAGCTTCATGGTCATGTACTCGAACATAGATGGGATTACAAACAAGACTAGTGAACGTAGGGAAAGAACACACGAAGTAAACCCAGATGTTGTAATTGGACTCACAGAAACTAAACTCTCAAGAATCATAACGAATGCAGTATTTCCCCAGGACTACATTGTAATAAGGAAAGAGAGGGAAGGAAGGGGAGGAGGCGGAGTGGCTCTACTGATAAGAAAGGAATGTAGTTTTGAGGAGATGGTTGTTCCGGACTGTGAAGGGTTCAGAGACTTCGTCACAGGCACCATGACGATGGGAGGACCAAGAGTAGTAGTAGCAGTGATATATAACCCACCACCAAATGAAAGAAGACCCAGACAAGAGTACGACAGAAACAACATGGCAGTTAACATTATCATTGAGAGAGCAGCCGCTGCTGCCTGTAGAAATCGATCCCACCTGCTCATAATGGGGGACTTTAATCATGGAAGAATAGACTGGGAAAACAGAGAACCACATGGAGGTGAGGAAACATGGAGAGCAATACTGTTGGAGGTGGCGACTAGAAACTTTTTAAGTCAGCATGTCAAGGGTCCCACAATAATGAGAGGCAATGATGAACCAGCAAGGCTCGACCTAGTATTCACTCTGAACGATTCAGACATAAAGGAAATCGGTCTTGAAGCCCCCGTGGGTGTGAGTTATCACAGTGTACTGTTGTTTGAGTATCTGGTCGAAGAAGGGTTAATGTACTCAAGGAAGGGACCAGAAA